AGTGCTAGATCTACGAAGGGGACGCTGACAGTAACATGCTCACTACAATAATATTGTCATTAAACTTAAGGCCATCCAAAGCAAGCAAAAAAGAACAATATAAGTGTAGAATTATGTGAGTTAATACTATATTAGGCTTATAGGTTTCTGAACAGAACTTGACCGTCTTGCCAATTTGGCAGGTTCTTGCCCCCCCTCCTCCCTTCCAAATTTATATTTAAAAAAATAAACTCCCAGGCCTTCTGAAGTTTGCTTTCAACAACTTTAGTCTGTAAAACATTTTTGTCATGATGTTTTTTTGGGTTTTTTTTTGGGTTTTTTTTACTAACTGTAGAATTCTTCCAACTCTTTTTTGTGTGTTTATTCTAGGCTTCGTCGTCGTGCCATTTTTACTTTTCATGGTATCTCTGGTAAAACTGGCATTCGGATCACTGACCGGAAGAAGTTGGTTTCTCTTCTCTACTTTCACTATCGTTTCTCTCAGTCTCATGTCGTTCGATGATGATGGTAACTTTGAACTGTCGCGGTTGTTTGTAAAGATCCAAACTGCAATCAAATAGCCTATTTATTTTTTAAGTATGGCATAAGTGCACAGAGTACATTTTTAGGACGAAGTAGAAAAGATACAAGAACTCTAGATCTAGAGTAGAGTCTTGTGAAATCATTTTTCACCATGGCACAAGAATTTTGTATGGAAGTCCTGTCTTTGAGAGAGGATGTCTCCAAAGCTGAGCTGATTCGTTCCAGAAAATCTATTTCTTGCTCGAAGGACAATCATTTGGTCTTGTGTGGAGCTAGCACAATCTTCATCATTGAGATGGTAAGGGGTTAATTAATTGTATCAAAACTTTTTTTGGGAGGACTTCATAACGAGCGACCACAACAGAGCAGAATTGAGGGCTAGGGCTAGGGGTAGATTCTAGATATCTAGGGATAGGGTTAGGGTTAGGCCTCTTCTTTATTGCATTGGTGACTTAAGTTGCCAGCAGTAGTCGGCGCATGGCCTGGCAACTGTAGTCGCCGACGGTACTGTAAGTGTAAGCTACATTACATAATGGAAGGACTTCAGTAACGAGCGACCACACCATCAAACACAATAAAGAAGAGGCCTAGATCTAGACCTAACCCTACCCCTAACCCTACCCCTAATCTTACCCCTAACCCTACCCCTAACCCTAACTCTACCCCTACCCTTACCCCTCCCCCTCCCCCTACCCCAAGCCCTCAATTCTGCGGCGCTTTTTCGGTAGTTCCCACCCCGCAATTGTTATTCGCCGGTTTTGGCCAGAGAGGGGGGTTTCAGCATAATTTGATGTTTTGCAGTTGTTAGGTTTGATATCTTAGCTCGCATCAAACGTATAGATCTCTATGTAGGTCAGGCTCAAAATATAAGGGGGGTGGGAACTACCGAAAAAGCACCAATTCTGCTCTGTTTCATAGTGGTAACTCGTTACGGAAGTCCTCCCTACATAATTATGGTCACTTTACAAAAATTTTCTTAATTTACTCAGATGGAAATGGGTACCTGGCTGCAGACTGTAAAAGACTTTGTCAGTTTGTTATTTCAGTGCTTAGTAGGCTGTTTGCATTAAAATGCTTTGCGGGAAGCTGAAAAAGTTTGTATGTGAAAGTTTTAGGGTCTGCTTGGGTAATAATGCAGTAAAGTAAAACCCTAACAACACGAACTTCACGGGTAAGGGAACAGAGAATTGTGTACGAAATGCTATGGAAAGAACTATATAAAGGAGGCACCTCTTCTTTAAGTTTTTGTTCGGAACTTTGAGAACCTTTTTTTAGTTTTGTGGCACTACACGGTGGAATCAGGCGTTCGTCAATTTTTAGGCATTTGGAGTTACTAGTATCATCTTAAAGTGTGTTCATCTGTCTAGCTTTTGAGGAAAAAAATACCCATTTATCTTGAATAGAGCTCGAGTTATTATGATTTAAGGAGGTAGAGGTAACCTGGTTTCAGAGGAAAAATTAGTGAGAAAATGGCCACCAAAGTCTGGTGACTTCCAAAGTTTGAGTCTTTTGGAACAGCAAATCCATGCAGAAAAATGTGTTTTTAAATGGGCATAGAAGATATACGGTATTGAGCCAAAAAAAGAAAATGAGAAAAAACTTTCCTTAGGGCCGGAAAAATACGGGTTTCCTTGATTACATTATTTTTATGAGCGCCTGATTTCACCCCGCTGCCTCACATTTATTAAATTAGTAACACATAAAGTAAAGACCTGCAAACTTTTGGAAATATTGAAAAAAGGGAAACCTATTTTCAAATCAGATTTATGCCTTGACCGCCCAAAATCTCTTTCATATTTCTTTTGAGAATGTGTTATTGTTGTTCTCATTTCTTAATAATCTAACATTTTTTTCTCAGACTGTGTCTACTGATTCAAGTCCAGAAAATGAAGTTTTGTCTGTGAGAATGTGTACAACACCTCAAATTACATCACTTGAACGATTTTCGTTTCCGGAAGGATTGCTGAATGCGGAAATTTCTTGTAAACATATTTCAGAAGGTAAAAGAAAAAGAAAATGTTTTGTCATACCATATATTTGTCAAGTTGTTTTCTGCAATTTTCTTTCTGTTTAATAAAAAAAACCCAACCAAATTTTTAAACCATGGCCAGTAGCAAAGTATTACTACTACAAAGGTGAGGGGGTGGGGGGGGGGGGGGTTACAGATTCTGAAAAAATGATTATCCTTGAAAACACAGGTGCTGCATCATTCCATAGGATGCTTAAAAGAATATAGTAGTGTGGTTTAGAGAGTTTGCACAAAAAGGAGGAAAAAAAATGGGAGTTTTTATTTTCTTTCGGTTTACTGCCCTTTTTGGGTAACCCGTGTACATTTTTAGTGGACTCCGGGCTCCGCTGTATTTTTAGGGAGTAACCTCTCTTGTATAGCCTTCTGAGAGTAGAAGAAAAGTTTTTATATAAATCTTAAAAAACTTTTGGGGGGGAAAATAAGACAGATGATAATATGATTTGCATAAACGCTGGTAGCAACATCAATATTTATTATGACACATGGATCTCAGAAGACAGATTTAGTAGATAGGATGGACTGCCTTGTAGCATACAATCTTTAGTGTCTGTCCTTCAATTATGAAGTTTTGCCAAAAACTGATTTTTTTTTTTTTCTGGCGTTGATATTTCTATGTTGTTTTTTTTAACATAGGTCTGTGTTTCGGTTGGGGAAAAGAAAACATTTCTGAAAATTATTTCTGTAACAGATGAGTGTGACGTTGTTTGTTTGTAGTTCAAAATAACATGGCTTGTTAGTGTCCTACTCCCTTCGGTATGGTAAAAGCGAATCTAGGCTACAATCATAGAGTATAGGGTCTGATGATAGACTGGGCTGTTGTGAAATAACCATGAATGAAAACTATCATACATAATAATATGTGAACAAGCAAGGTTCTTTTCTCACGAACTAGCTTGCACATTGCCAGACTTATTTCAGAATCATAACAACATTCAACATGTTTGTTTTTCCATTTTTTTTTTCTCTGTTGTTCAGATTGCCATTTTGTTTGCTATATTAAAAAAAACTTTATTTTTCAAAACATATAGACAGATAGATAGACTGACGGATGGACAGACAGACAGACGGACGGATGGACAGACGGACAGACAGACAGACAGACAGACAGTCAGACAGACAGACGGACAGACAGACAGACAGACAGACAGACAGACAGACAGACACACTGACTGATGGATAGACAGATGGATAAAGAAAGAGATCTTTGTTTTTCTTTTCAGAGCATCGACAGCAGCTGATCATTGATCCGTCGTTGTACGCTGAATTCTTCATAGCTTCCCATAACTCGGACCTCTTCGTCCGTGCATTGCCATCACCAACAACATGCAACTCAAGTGACAGGCAAGGCAAAATAATTCTGAATCGTTACGCGATTTTTTTTTCTGTGTACATGTACGATTTTCAGTTCAGTCAGACTGACTTCTGTAGTGACTCGCTTGAACTTTTCCAACCTTCCTGTACCGCAAAGTGTCGAGGGTAGATACCGTTGTCAGGTGTGGGCCTTGTGTGGGTGGTTGGCGGGTGCTCTGGTGTGGTTTGCTTCTTCTTTCCTATCAAACATCTATCGTCCTTATCTCCCGTTCATCTTTTTTATGTTTGTTACTCTCTTGTAACACCTCTAATCATCTGGCGCTCATATGACCTTATGCAGTTGCGAGCGCCGTAAAACCTCTACTAAAACTAAACTAAGATGTGGGCCAGGTGTGTTGGTTTTTGGATCATCATGAATGTTGTGTTGACCTGTGGAAGATTTCTTTGACTCAGTTGATCATTTTTTCTAGGTCTTCAGCCCTGGCTTTGACTCCACTGAATCTGATGTTTCTTGAGGCTGGCAGTTGTCACGTCACCGCCATTCTCATTAGGTGTCCCGACCATTGGATATATGGGAGGCAGCGTGGTGGAATCAGGCTCTCGTCAATTTTTGGGCATGTAGAGTCATTGGTATCATCTTAAAGCTTGTTCACGTGTCTTTATTTGGAGGAAAAAAATATCCATTTATCTTGAATACAAGTCGAGATATTTGCGAATGAAGGAGGTGGGGGTCACCTGTTTTCAGAGGCAAAATTAATTGGAAAATGGCCGCCGAAGATTTTGTTATTTCCTTAACTTAGGAGTACGTGGTAACTGAAAATTTTCAGTTTTTGTGCCTTTAATCAACGTTTTTCAGGAAAATCCACACAGAAATGGGTTTTGTAATGGGCATGAAAGTGAAAGGTGTTGAGCCAAAAAACAAAAATTTTAGAAAAATACACAAACCTGTTGAAAAATGCAAGTTTCTTCACTTTGATTATATTGACGAGAGCCTGATTCCACCACGCTGCCTCACATTTGTCTTTTGCTGTGCTCCTTGTTTGATTTGCTGCCTACTTGTTGTCTGATGTCTTTGTTCTTCTCTGTCTCTTCTTTTCATGTTAACAGACTCTGTCCCCCCCC